GTTATACCATGCATATCTTGTGTGATCTATTTGAATCTTGTGGTCAATAGCCTAGGGAGCTAGGTGTCTTGTTTATCACTGAACTTCTTGCAGCATGGCTATGATCTGCATGGTGGTCCCTTCTTATTTTCTTGGGTAGGTTAGTGGTGAGATTTTGCATGATACGTGTATTCTTTTGGATTAACTGCACCCATCACTTTTATTGTTAAATGGATGTTTATTGATTCATTTGGTGTTGCTGAGCATTGATTATGTGATTTGTTAATGGATATTGTATGGTTGTTTTCCTTTGTTCTAGAAGTCTTCGAATAAAACTCATATCAATACTTGTATGTTTATTATAATCACTACAATATTGAGTGTTAACTTCTTTCATTAAACAAAATTTACTTTACAAGTATGTGTGTCATATGCAAAATAGAGTCTATACAAGAGCGAGTTATGTACCAACTTCCTCCTGGCTGAATGCCAAAACTTATCATCCTAAAATTTTGGAATTTTTTTTTTTTTTTGAGAAATTCAAGAAATTGTTACTACTGATGAAGGAAAACTTAGATGTGCGTTTTGCCAGTGAGTCTACCAGCTGGTTGGATGGCTCCTGTATGGGTTCAAAAGTAACACATGCACAGTTTGTTCTGCTCCAAGCTGGTCCACTTGGCAGGAAAGTAGTCTGGTTGGATTCGAAGGAGAGTAGTCTGGTTGGAATCAGAGGAGAGTAGTCTGGTTGGAAGTCATGCTGTCAAGCAGAGTTGCCTTCAATTAATTATTTCCTTTCAGCTGGGGTCTAAATTCCTCAGCCCAGTTAGCAGATGCCAGAGCCCATTCCTCGGCCTCGTTTGCATTGCACTCATGTAGTGGGCCTGACTAGCATAAAACAATCTTTCTTTGGTCATTTCTCAGAGCCCCTACCTGCTTTTCCAGGATTGATGATAGGGCTTCCATGACTGTTCATCTTCATTACTACTGAATTTCCCTAGAATTCATTCCCTTGACTTGGCCCCTGAAATCTTGATTTGTTCTTTCCTCCTCTCCTCTCCTCATTTTTGGTTCTTAAAAAAAAAACGAGTATTTCTCTCCTTCCAAATTGGTCATCATCATCATCATAACCTTTTCCCAATTAATTGGGGTCGGCTACACGGATCCTGGTCTGTCATTTTGCTCTATTAAAGGCCATACCCTCATGGAGGTCATAAAGTCTCCATAGCTTTTTAGATCACTTCCAACCACATCCTTTTGGGCCTATCCCTTACCCTTTTCTGTCCTTGAACTTGAACTTACTCGCACCTCCCAACAGGTGCTGTACTTGGTCGGCGCCACACATGGCCAGCCCACCTAAGTTTACTATCTCTTATTGCCTATTGGGGCTACACCTAAATTCTCTTGAATGGATTCATTTCGAATTCTATCCCTTCTTGTCTTGCCACTCATCCATCTTCACTATACTCATTTTATGGGTATATTATTTTTTGTCCGCCCAACATTCCGCTTCATGGAGCAAAGCTGGTCAAAGGTGGGCTTTACCATTGGTGCAACCTTGAGGGAGGGTTAAACCAATTGAGCCCAAAAAGATGAAGTTCCAAAGCCCAAATGTAACTTGCTTCCTTACAATGGAGAAGTGTGGTCTACTTACTCTGTGGCCTGCTTACACATCAGGAACATGTTCCGGATAAATAATAGTCGGCTACTAAGGTGGTCCAATGATCAAGACAGCTTGGCTGCCCAATATCTGGGTATTGGGGTTATTTCAACTGCATCTTGCCTGGAATTTTGTGCTTGGATATGATACATGGAGTTAACCGAAAAAGTCCCTTTAGAATCAAGATCTGGATGATTTTGCATCCCTTTAGTGGCCTATAATAATGCGTTTGCAGCTGTGCTAACGACCTTGTTAGCATGTCCACTTCTTCTACCTTTAATGAGCACACCTAAGATGGGGAGTCCATGTGGCATTTTGATGTAGGAGAACTTGAAGAAACCCAAAAAAATCAGCAAGAAGCACTCAATTTTGAAGAAACCCTATGGTTTTCTCCTACCTAGGACTCAAGCCTTAGGCTTCTTTTACAAGACAAAGTCTTTTTTGTCTTAAAAAAGAATACATGAATGACTCTCTAGCCCATCCATGCCTTTATTGAAAAATTATTGTTTTGGACAATATTTGTTCATACAATTTAACTTTTGACTAAAAGGTCATAACTTAAGTATAACTTGAATCGAAATTCTCTAATTTTAATTAAAATATCTAAAAAGTCCCTAGAATTCCTAGAAACTAAAAAACCTAGAACTAAACCTTAAAACTAAAATAAAAATATACATCTTTTAAAATTGAATAGAAATTAAAAATAAGTATAATTTTTCCATCCATCACATTTGTTCAACTACATTGTGTAACATATTGAATTTTGCCTATGGGGTTTATAGCAATTGCGAGTAAGCTAGGAAACTCATCCTTGATGGTTTGAGGCCCAAGCCATGGATGAAGCCGAAATCTTGGTCTCCACCCATTATCCCCTACTTGCGTCTTTTTATTTTTTAATGTAGATTTCTTGGCATCTATCAATTGCACACAAGGTTCCAGATTGTTTTGTTTCTATTTTTCACATCCTTGACCAGCCACCGTTTTCATCCATTCCATATTTGTGTTGCAGTACTTCCACATGTGGTCTCCTAGATTTCTTAGTCCTCCACCACCACTTAGATCGTAATGCCAAGTTTGGTGCCTTGATCTTTCTGATCCCCAATTTCCTTTAGTGTCATATAGACACTCCTTGTCCCATTTCACCAGGTGGACCATTCGTTGATTTCTTACTCTCCACCACCATTTAGATAGCAAGGCCAAGTTTGTTTCCTTGATCTTTCTGATCACTAGGTGGATCATACCTTGTTTTGGTGACAATTCCATAAAAAATCTTATATGTGCTTTTTGATCCTGTTCACCAAGGACATTGGCATGCTGAATAAGTACATGCAGTAAATAGGATAATTTACTAGCATAGATTTGATGATGGTTAATCTCCTTAAGTAAGTACTTGGTTCCATATTGCCAATTTTTTTTTTACTTTTTCCCCCAAAACCTCACTGCTACACCCCCCACATTTCTTTAGCAGGCTTCCAATGGCATAAGGTAAAGGTCATGGTTTTTTGATTTTTTTTTTTGTTGGAGAAGTAGGTAAGGGCCAGGTATTTCACGTATTTATTCGGTAATTTATCAGTCCAACACCTGACATATCGTAAAAAAATCGCTAACTGGGTTTCTTTCAAGGCATTTCCAAAAGTTTTTGTTTTTGTGTTATATTTACTCGTATCCTTGATGTGACTTTGAACCACCTCAAGCATGGCTCCGGATTATTCTTCATTTCTATAAGTGCTATGTCACTAAAAAGCAAAGTCATCTGCATACTGCAAATGTGACACTATCGGGCCATTTAAGGATGATAATTTGCCAAAAGCATATGGCCCATCTAAAACACCACTCAGTCCTCTGTAGCTCAAGAAGTTGCATTTAGGGGAATTGATTAGCATTGAGAAATAATCCTTGGATAAGCACCTTCCCGTCCAGTTTCTCCAAGTAGGTAAAAAATTCCAAATCCAATGATTAGCTTCAATGAATAGCTGTCTCCTTGAGATAATTCTAGTCAACCCTAACATTTGCCTTTTCAAGGTCAACTTTGCAAATCACCTCCTGCTTCCTTGTTTTTTGTCTAGGATGCATACATGCGCACCTCTGAGGCCCCATCCATGATATATCTATTTATCACAAAGGCTGCCTGTGGTAGTGAAATTTTTTGGGGGGTGTCCTCTTTTAGCCAGCTTGCGACCTTTGATATATAATCTTGTATGTACTGTTCCGCAGAATAATAGATTATAGATCTTTGTTATCTTCCACCCCTCAGTGTGTTATTTATCCTTCGCCTTTCTTAAAACTCATTAAACATATAAAGGATTTTATTTTTGAGTAATGGACTTGCTAAGTTCATTATTAAATGGGCATGTAGTAATGGATTTATGGTCCATTAGTATACATACAACTATACAAGAAAGATGCATCTAGGTGGTGCTCTTCCATAGGCCAATACTTTTAGATATATCTTTTTCAATCAAAGCTAAACTGTTAACTTTTGAGTTGTTTTATGAAATTACTTACTATTTTTAGCTCTACCAGTCGATAATAGACGGGAACTAATTGAAACAGAAAAGGAGAAGAGAGGTGACATGTTATTTTCTGGAATAGTCTGTTTTTTGTGAAAACCGGCATTTTGTTTAATTTCTTTTCTAGTTTTTGCAAGTGAGCCGAGTCTTGTCATCAGTATTCTTAATCTCTTTCTATTCACTATGAGCACAAAATTGATCCTCTTTCATTTTAAAATCACTATTCAGTGAAGTGATGATGTTTGTTTAACATTCGGTTAAATGGCTGGTAGTGTAATGGATCCCATCAAACTCCAATATGAATGCGTTCATCAAAATAATACCGTGATGGCTACCTCCTGGGAAGCCCATGTAACATACCTGTATTTAACAAATAGAGCGATCATATTTGTCTTTTAGTTGATATTTGCCTTTTTTAACATCTCTTTCCAGAATCACCCAAAAAAAAAAATCTCTTTCCAGATGTCCCTCAAACTAAAATATTTAGACTATACATCTAGGAGCTTGGAGGGTAGAGGATGTACTGAAAGGGGAAGAATACACATCCTCAGAACATGCACACACATGCACATTGTATGTGTTTGGGTATGTGTATTATATATACTCGTTCATAGTCATCAGATATATGCACATTCAATGAACCATCCTTACTTCTATGTAAATCTTATTTACGTTGAGATAGTTCTTTGTGCGAGTGCACCCGTTCTTTGCATGGGCTGGGAATTAGTTATTGTGTATGCACGTAGTGCGGGTCTGGAGCTTGATCCGATAACTGCTTGATTGTGTGCATATTTATCCAAAAGAATGTAAAATATCTGGTGCATAATTCATTTCTTATGCTCTCATGTCAATAGTTTATCCCAAAGAAAGGAGGAACGCCCAAGCGCAATGAGATTGTATTTGTTGCACCTACTGGTGAGGAAATTCGTAACAAGAAGCAACTTGACCAGTATCTCAAAGCCCACCCTGGTGGTCCTGCTGTATCAGAGTTTGACTGGGGCACTGGTAATATCCTCTCTCTCTAACACAGTCATGTATATTTAATACTGTGTGTGTGTATGACACAGACACGTCATGCACATGCAATATCTTTTTATGTTTTTGGTACATTGTGATTTGCACAGGGGACACACCTAGGAGATCTGCACGAATAAGCGAAAAGGCAAAGGCCCTAGACTTCCCAGAAAGCGAGCCCAAAAGTAAGCGTGCGAGGAAGTCATCAAGCTCCAAGAAGGGGCCAAAGGCGAAGAAAGCCAATGATGAAGAGAATGAAGCTCTTGAGGAGGAAGCTGACAAAGAAAAAAGTGACGTGGCTGATGCCGCTGGTGTTGGAAAGGAGCATGATGCTAGTAAAGAGGTTGAAATGCAAGATGCTGAGGATGGCAGGGGAAAAGTGGACAATAAAGTCATCGCTGGTGAAGAAAGTGCAAAGCATGAGGTTGACACTGTCCCTAAGCCAGCAGAAGATGGGAGCATAAAGGTGGAGGACAAAGTCACAACTGTTGAAGAAAATGCAGGGAACGAGGGTGATAGTGGGACTAAGCTGGTAGGTGATGCAGGGAAGTCTGTAGTAGAAAAAGTGGGTGGCTCTTGTGATACCAATTACATGGAAAGCATGAAGGATAAGGGGGTAACAACTACCGAAGATGTGGGGCCCGGTGACTCCAAAGCAAATGAAGAAGTGAAGGAGAATGTGCTGCCTGACGATCACAATAAAGAGGAGAAGAATGCGACTGCAGATTGTGAAGTGGGTTCAGTCAACACCGATGATGCGAAGGCGTTCGAGGCTACTAAAGAATCAGCAGCAACAGAGGAGAAGAGTGAAGAGGAAAAAGGCCTTCCAGAAAATGGAGCTACAACACGCGAGGGTGGAAAGGAGGGATCGACGACAAAGGATATGCATTCCTTAAACTGTGCAGATGGCCAGCGACCGGAGCCTTCGCCTGTTAGTTGTTGAAGCTTCGTTTCTTCCTGCACGCACGTGGGAATTGTTTGTACGTCTAGTGCTAATTTGTCTCATTTTAGTTAGTGGAAACTTAGTCTATAGATGAACCTTTTCCTTTTGTTCTTTTATATTTCCCATTTTCCTTTTTCTTTTTTGCGTTGTATGTTGTGAACAGTATTCCTTGTGACATCAATCTTTCAAAGTCTCTAACCTTATGTAAACATATTATATTTGACGTGTATGAGTATTATGTTAGGCTTTCATTGAGGAAGCGCAAGGTTTGGCTTTCAGGGTGATACTTGGCGGTTCTTGTGATCTATGTTTAATATGTTTAATTGCCAAGTCGTCTTCGTTTTTGCAGGATATGCATTTTTAGGGGATTGGCAAAACTTTGATTATGGGAAGCCTTGCCAGGGCTGGATCTGCTTCCTAAGATGACCCGTTTGGAGCAAGACATGTGTGCTTAACCCTGAATATCGGAAAGACTAATTTGGTATACAGAGAGATGAGCGAAAGCAGGCAACCACACTGGTGGAACCTTTATAAGTTAGGGTCCAGAATTTGTTGAGGTTGAGTTCCTTAATACAGTGTGAACTTGTGCTTTCATTGGCACCCATTTTTGTAGAGGTTCATTTCCAGCCAGGCTGTGGGTTGCCACAATTTTTTGTATCCGTTGTGAGCACCCACACTGTGGGTTGCCACAATTTGTTTGCAATCAGTTACTTATAGAATACAATGTCAACATTTCAAAAAGAACGAGAGAATCAAAATTTGGGTGAGAGAATGAGTCAAATTTTGGGGTCTGTAAACAGAAAATATGCCACTCAAAATTGAAAAAAAAGGAATAAAAAGGTGATGCCAGTTCTCAATGCGTCATCCCTTATTCTCGAAATGGTATAATGACAAACATAAATTGGAAAACTCATACAAACTCCATCACGCCCAAAAAGGCAAAGCTGCTTTTAGATTGTTATATAACACCCACTAATAATTTGTTTTTTGTTTTTTTATGAGTGGATCCCCCAGCTTTCCAAAATGTTCACATGCCTTCTCCCCCGAGTGGTTGGGTGGTGCTCCGGTGCCTAGCTGCACCTCCTCCTTGCTCTTTACAGCACTTTCCACTTCTTTTTCATGAAACCTCGGGTGGATAATCAATGAAACAATGACTTTGCAATTGGATACAAAACTCTCATCACAAAACAGCAGGCTCTTCTCCGGGAAAGAAAGCCCTAATTATTCTTCCATACCCCATCCAGTCAAGATAGCAACCCCAAACTCGATACCTCATTGAAAATCCCCCATAAGATGCCAATGGAGAAGCAGATCTTCTTGAAAAGGAGGGTGAAGCAATCTTAGTTTAACAGCAAATGGGGCAAAGAATAAGGCCATTCTCGTTGCAATGAGGACAGCACACAATAGCATCAACAACCACTCCCTCCTCCTCTTGCGGCCGCTGCTCCTCCTCATGACTCAATGATGATGATTTTAAAAGCTTGTGGCTCCCTCTGCACTCCAAGCACAGCACAAACCGCACTCCGCCACAGCCCTCACATGGCCCCTCTGACGACAACCGGCCCTTTGGCATCCCTTCTAGGAGCCCTAGCAGCCTCCCCCCCTCGTGCAGCGCCAGGAACTCCTCCGCTCCCCCCAAATACCGCCCCCTCGCAAACACCCTTGGCGGCACAACAACCACTCCATCTCCAACTGTCCCGACCAACAATGCCCTCATCTGTTCCCTGAACTCCAAGTGCATCGAGATGTCCCTCTCGTCGAATGCCACCTTCAAGGTGCTGAGAACGTGCCTCACCCGTCTACAGTCCTCAAATGTCTTCCTGATGCCCCTTATGCTCGTTGTATAGAGCACCACTGAATCCCGGCCACCTGGAGGGCACTTCTCCTCAAACTCCGATAGCGGGTCATAAGGAACCTTCTCAGTTTCAAGGGGGAGGTTGGCATTGTAAGTGCAAATGTGGTCCATCACAGCCTTTTCAAAGGCAGCCAAGAGGTCGGGATCAAAGAGGTTGTTTCCGGCAAATGGGTTGGGTGGCCGAGCCCATGACTCGACATCTATCTCTGACAAAGGCCCATGGGTCAGCCTCTTTGTGTGCTGGTGCTCTGTTCTGTTTTTGCGAGGTTTCTTCTCAGGTGGGGTTGGTGGAAGATTTGGCGTGGGCCGGATGTTCTCCTTGTCAATGTAGGGGGGAGAGATCATTTCTTCTTCTTCTTCGAGGTCACGCACAAGCTCAGAGATATCTACAGTTTCGAAATCTGTTGAAGATGGGTTTTTGGGTGTCTTGGATAGTTCTTCTTCACACAATGGGTGGGGATTGCAAGGTGGTGGGTCTTTGGATTTCTTGAACACTTCTTGTTCACACATTGGGAGAGCATTGCAAGATGAGGGGGTTTTGAGGAAGGGATCATCAGGAAGGGCCCCTCCATCTGAGGCGTTCAACTGCAGCACCCGCCCCTCTAACGATGTCTTTAGGGTTGTAACCACCAGTGATGGCCTCAAAGATTTCAGTTTCTTGTTGATGAACCTCAACCCCTTCATTCCCTTCATATCAACCAGTGGCTGTAATTCTGAAAATTGTGCCTGGAATCTGATGATTTCGGGCTCTCTCTCTGTGCGACAAAGGACGATGCAACAATACAAGGAAAGGGCAAGAATCTCTCTCTCTCTCTCAGCAACAACGGAAGAGGGAGGCAAGAAGAAAGGATATGGGTGTCCTCCACTGCTGCCTTTCTGTGTAACGGCTATATACATGGAATCAGAGGAGGAGGAGGGTTTTTGTTTGAATTTTTTTTTTGAAAAAGAGGCTCACCGGTTTTTAATAATGGACAGAGACACACGTGGGGCCGCACAAGGTAGAAAAACGGTCACAATGTGACCTTTCTGCTCTCCGTTTGCATTTGCCATTTATAAATCCTTAAGCCAAATTCTCTGTCTGTCTCTCTCTATTATTACACTTTCACTTTCCCATCCATTTCTCCTCTCTTTTCCTTTCACCCCCTCTCATTGCCTCTCTTTTTCATTCGCCTTTATTTTTCAAATTTTTTCGCCTCTTATGCTTACTCTTCTTGTGTTGTGTACCTTAAAATCCCCTCCTCCTCTATAGCGTGGAAAGGTACAAAAATACAGAGAAGAAAGCTTGTGTGATTTTGTATTAGCATCAACACACGCTGTGGACCCTTGAAGGATGCACAAATACCCAACCTATCCTTACCAGACAGTTTTCTATGAGGTTAGAATCAATATGGCCAAATATCAGTGACTTGAGGCTTACATTGGCCGTTATGTATTAGCCTTACACACCTATATATTTCCTCAATATTTGAAAAAACCAGGCATCATTAAACACATCCACATCTGCGCTTCAAAAATAATCTCCCGTCGGTATTCATTAAAATAAAAATAAAGGTATCGTCCATTATAATATTTGTTACATAATATTATTTTTAAATAATACTCACTGAACCATTAGTTCTTAATAAAAGCAGAAACATTATATAATATCATTTTTAAACAATACCCATTGAACCATTAGTTCTTGATAAAAGCAAATATTACTTGGTTTCTTTTCCCATTTTGAACTCAAAAAGTATTGAACGGGAACGTACGTTATATATTGGTTTAAGACCAAGCCAATCGAGACAATAATCAGCATAAAGAAGGCCAAAGTTTTCATCAGTAAAGTAAAATTATTTTTGAGAAAATTACAAAAAAACCTCAAGACCACACTTTATATGCAACTTATCTCCAACTTAACCTTTTCTCTCACTCTTTTCAAAAGAAACTTTCTATGCAAATACCCCCAAGGAAAAAAATTCATTTCTTTAGACGGAAATACTCTTCCCGTACACAAAAATCATTTTGGATAAATTTCATATTGACTTTTGGACCAGTAGTACATTGTCGGAGCTCACCCAATAGCACATTGCGGGAGCTCACTATCACATTGCCGGAGCTCACCCAGTAGCACATTGCGGGAGCTCACTATCACATTGCCGAAGCTCACCCAGTAGCACATTGCGGGAGCTCACTATCACATTACCAGAGCCTAGTAGCACATTGCCAGAGCTCACCATCACATTTCAATAGCACATTACTTTTGGACCCAGTAGCATATTGCCCCAGTAGAATATTGGGGGAGCACACTATTACCCCAATAGCATATTGTCGGAGCTCACTATCACAGGGCCAGAGCCTAGTAGCACATTGCCAGAGGCCACCATCACATTCCAGTAGCACATTGCCGGAGCGTACCATCACATTGCCAGAGCCAAATAGCACATTGCCACAACGCACCTCAAATTTCCAGAGCGCATAAGTGACAGACCGTCCTTTGCAATTGCCTGACCACCCTTTGCAATTGTCATACTATCCTTTGCAATTGCCAGACCACCCTTTGCAATTACCGTACTAGAGCGGAGCGTGCTGAACCGCCCTTTGCAACTGTCGGATCGGAGCGCAACACAATTGCCAGACCACCCTTTGCAATTGCCAGACTGGAGCGGAGCGCAAGTGCTGGACCGCTCTTTGCAACTGTCGGATCGGAGCGCAGCACAATTGCCAAACCACCCTTTGCAACTGTTGGGCTGGAGCAGAGCACAAGTGTTGGACCGCCCTTTGCAACTGTCGGATCGAAGTGCAGCACAAGTGCCGGACCGCCCTTTGCAACTGTCAGATCGAAGCGCAACACAAGTGCCGGACTCCCCTTTGCACCTGCAGTACGGACTGGAGCATTAGGCCCTTTGCAACTGCGGGACAAACCGAAGCAAGTGCCGGACCGCCCTTTGCCCCTGCTGAACCACCCCGCCCTTTGCAACTGTGGGATTGAAGCGCATCACAATTGTAGAACCACCCTTTACAACTGCGGGGCGGACTGGAGCACGATCACAATTGCAGAACCACCCTTTGCAACTGCGGGGCGGATTGGAGCACCAAGCGCTTTGCAATTGCGGGACAGATCAGAGCACACAAGTGCCGGACCGCCCTTTGCAACAGTTGAACCGCCTTAAACCGCTCTTTTCAATTGCTTTACACAGTGCCAAAGCCTTACTGCAGGACCGAACTTTACAGTGCCGAAGCCTTACTGCCGGACAGAAACTTTACAATGCCAAAGCCTTACTGCCGAACCGAACTTTACAATGCCAGAACGCTATTGTCGAACCACACTCATTTACATGGTGCCGGAGCCTACAGGGCGTGGGTAAGGTTAAAATAAGAGAGATAGTTTAGGCATTTTTCTATTTTTATTTTGGTTGAAGGGCTTTGCATAGAAAGTATATTATTTTGGGAAAAAAGTGAGAAAAAAAGTGAGGTTAGAGGTGAGTTGCAGTGTAGTTTTGGAGGTTTTTTTGGTAATTTTTCCATTATTTTTTCCTTTCTCATGCGCAAAGTGCTGCAAGTTGATGAGCCAAGTCTGCTCGTCCTAAGAACGAATTGAGAGAGAGGGGGAGAGAGAGAGGGAGAGATCTACGTTGTTACAAGCCAAAAGAGAACAAGAAACAATTAACAATGAGAACATTACAAAGCAGGAGCTCCTTTTCCACCAGCAAATGTCCTACTTTAATATTATGTAATAAGTGCTTTGATTGATATGTAATGATTGTATCTCACACATGAGGAACGAGAATGACCAGAAGTAGCTACCACCGATTGTATTTTACAAGTAAATAAGCAGTGCCATGAACAAGGAGATGCCCGTTGAATAGCCACCTTTCACAAAGTCATTGAAGCCTCCGATACTAGAGAGAGAGAGAGAGGTAAGGTAATTGTTGCTTTGAGCAGGCACAGCATTAAATATCAGCAATAGATTCCCCAAATCCTATGCTGAAGCCAAAGTTGATGCAGGTTAGTTGCTTCCCGTCGCTGCCCAACATCTTCATTTTAAGTGTGTAAGAGCCCTGCATCCAACACAAATAGTAATAATTCTTTCATCCACATAATATTCAAGATCCAAGTATATCCAATCCCAATAAGTCACTAAGTATTTATTACCAGGATAGCATAATTCATTCAAGTGGTCCAACAGAAGAATAGTAAACAATTCGCTAATGGTGCATACGTAGCACCAAATGTAAATATAACTCTTTTTAAGTTCTTGGGTCTTTGAGGGTTATGGACGATGGAGTAAGCAAGTCACTCCCTGAATGATTACTGTTCCAGATTTCTCAAGTACGGGCAGAAACATTCCAAGCATTCAGTGTCTTTTCCATAATATATGATATAAAAAAAATTGAATTGCAGTGACTTAGTTAACTTCGAAAGGAATCCAATCAACTGAAGCAGAACATGCCTATCTTTCTTTTATACTATCAAGAAAAACTATTGATAGCAAAAATTTAACTATGTTTTTTTACTTCTTTCCATCAATATTTTCTTCTTCCAAGAAACAGACTCCTATATTGATAGTAAAAATTTAGCTATGTTTTTTTACTTCTTTCCATCAATATTTTATTCTTCCAAGAAACAGACTCCTACTAGATCTCACTAGCAAAACTAACATAAATGAGTGCAAAAAAGCAAAAAGCTCCCATGAATCAAGAAAATCGCAATCAATGTGCCGGAACACCAAAGCAAGTTATAATTAACCTACTCACAGATGCCAAGCCAATCCAAGCTGTTATTAAGTACATAAACAGCAAAGACAAGGCACATGACAAGTAACAAGAAAATAGAAAATCACAAAAGAGGGGGCAACTTACTGGAGGCGTGTAAGTTGGCAGCACTTGGGCATGTTTAAGCACAAAGTTCCCTGATGCTATTGGGCAAGATGTCTCACTACAAAGATCATGTGTTTCAGAGTGGACATGTATCCCGAAAATGAACACCTCAATAATCAATTTCCCCTCGGATAATGGCGCCTCTGTGCATTTACAATATAACAAATGGAATGGTCTCAACAAACCCAGACAAAATTAAGCCGAGGCAAGCAAAACTGTGCAAAAAGGAGAATTCTACATGCTCAATTTGATTATATGATGCAGCATCATGCAAATATGCCAGCATGCACCACAACTGAGTTATACATTATAATATTTCGCTACAGCAAAAAAAATTAAAGGAAAAAAAAAACATGCAGCACAAAGAAGAAACTGTGATGTGATCATGTATGCATATGTGTTTGTGAATTTGTATTGTGATATGCTTTATACTGTGCAACCTCAGGGAAAAAAAAATCAAATCATCATCACCATCATCATAGCCTTGTCCCAAATCAAATATGAACACAAATCCAACAAGCCTTAAGCATGCTTGAACCATAAATAGTAAAAGATATATGAAAGACATCAGTGTTCTGCTGCAGATGGTGCATGGACCACCAAAGCACCAAGAGAGGCTCTAAATCAAACATGAGTCATCACCTGCTGCCAATGCCATTGAGAAGACCACTGTCCCCCAGTTTCAGAAGGGAAGGGTTGCATAGTTTGTTTTAGGGATGATCTTAAAGGTTCGATTCCATGATCTCTGCTGTACAAACCGAGATCTCACTGTGCCACCACTAAATCAAAGCTCAAGGTTCTAATTAAGAACCCAATTATGCATGTGATGTGACCGAACTGGACTTCTTAATGAGGCACTGGGCTTTTCAGTTGAGTCATGAATATCTTTAGCTGGAACAGTTTGATTGAAAAAAATAT